TAATAAAATATAACTTGAAACCACAAATGTATTCCCATACTAGAGTGTTTAAATTATTATTACACTACTAATAATTAACTGGATCAGAATACTCATGTACTTACATGTACATGTACTTACATAAGGTGTATGACATATTGGCTATGTCACATATATACAATAGAGTACTATTTAGCCATTGAAAAAATGAATATCCTACATTTGTGACCACATGGATGAACCTTGAAGGCATTATGATAAGTGAAGTAAGTCAGACAGAGAAAGACAAATACAAATACTGTATGATCTTACTTCTATGTGGGAATCTAAAAATATTAAACTCAAAGAAACAGAGGTCAGATTTGTGGATGCATGGGGAAGTGGGTGGGGGCTGTAGGGGACAGGTGGTGAAAGGTACAAACTTTCAGTTATAAAGGTAAATAAGTTCTGGGGATGTAATGTACAACATGACTATAGTTAACAAGTATTACATATTTGAAAGCTGCTTAAGACAGCAGTCCTTAAAAGTTCTCATCATATGAAACACATTTAAAATTATGTGAGTTGAGGAATGTTAACTATTTCAAGTTATGGGTGTTAAACTTATTGTGGCAATCATTTCTCTCTCTATACACACATACACACACTAGAGGCCCGATGCACGAAATTCGTGCAAGAGTAGGCATTCACAGCCTTGGCGGCTGCCTCGATCCTGCCCTCGCAGCCAGGGCAGCTGCCTTGATCCTGTAGCTGTAGCCCTGGCTTCATGTGGAAGGTCATCCTGAGGGACGTCTGGATGGCCAATTGGTTAATTTGCATATTATGATTTTATTATTATAGATAGCCATTATGTCATACACCTTATCCTATATAATAAAAGACTAACATGCAAATGGTTCCCTTGATGGGGAGATCGACCAGGGGGCGGGGCCGGCTGACCAATTGCCCACAGCCCCTCCCCCTGGCTGGACCCGTTCCCAATTACCCCCCCCCCACCATGATTGGGGGTAGGGCCAGTTGGCCAACCGCCCCTGGTCCCTCCCCCCGGCTGGACCCACCCTTGATTAGCCACCCGCACCTTGATCAGGGAGGGCCGGCCTCGTGCACCAGCCTCCAGTACTTATATAATGTCAATTATATCACAATAAAACTAGAAAACCACTCATGTACTTATTAAATCAAATTTGTACCTCTATGCATACATTGATTACTGCCAGATTTTCCTATGAACTGCAAAATGACGACAATTGGTTCTATTAGTAATCTTTCATTATTCCTTGTGATTTTTTAGTAGACAGCAAATTTAAACATGACTTAATTGGATTTTCCTGTTTTGACTTTCTGTATTACCATAAGCATCCTAACTAATAAAAGAGAAACATGGTAATTAGCGTATGACCGCTACCCTTCCCATTGGCTAATCAGGGTGATATGCAAATTAACTGCCAGCCGAGATGGCGGCCGGCAGCCAGGCAGCTTAAACTGAACATGAAGCTTGCTTGCTTCAGTGACGGAGGAAATCAACGTTCCCCGCCTGCCTTGCCGGCCTCTGAGCCTGCAGTTTGAAACATAGTTACAAATATAGAAGCTAAACAAAACCCCAGAAACCTGCTTTCAGCGAGCTGGGATCTCAGAGCTGGAGTTGATACGGAGTTCCGATTATAGAACCGAAACAAACCAGATACCTTCTTTCAGCAGCGGAGGCCTAAGAGCTGGAGCCTCAGAGCTAAAGCTGGCCCAGAATAAAAAGAAAAAAAGGAGCGGTTGGAGGCTTCCGTCACCGCCAGCCTGAAAACAGCCCTTAGCCCCTTACCCAGACTGGCCAGGCACCCCAGTGGGGACCCCCACCCTGAAGGGTGTGTGACCAGCTGCAAACAGCCATCATCCCCTCAGCCAGGCTGGCCAGGTACCCCAGTGGGTCCCCCACCCTGATCCAGGACACCCTTCAGGGCAAACCAGCCGGCCCCCACCCATGCACCAAGCCTCTATTCTACATAGTAAAAGGGTAATATGCCTCCCAGCACCAGGATCAGCGTGACAGTGGGCAGCGCCCAAACCCCCTGATTGCCCTGCGGCTCTGTGTGTGACAGGGTGCGGCGCCCCAACCCCCCCGTACCCCCCACCATGGGCCCTGCTCTGTGTGTGATGGGGTAGAGCCATAACCTCCCCATCGGCCCTGCCCTGAGTGTGACAGTGGCGGCGCCCCAAACCCCTAATCGGCCTCACTCTGTGGGTGATAGAGGATGGCGCCCCACCCCCGATCCGCCCTGCGCTGTGCATGACGGGAGGGAGCTCCCCAACCCCGATTGACCCTGCTCTGTGCATGACAGGGGGTGGCGCCGCAACCTCCCCATCAACCCTGCCTTGAGTGTGACAAGGGGCGGTGCCCCAACCCCCCAATCGGTCCCACCTTGAGCATGACTGAGGGTGGCATTGCAACCTCCCGATCCTCCCTGCTCTGTGCATGACAGGGGGCGGCGCCCCAGTTCCCCAATCGGCCCTGCTCTGAGCCTGACCAGGGGCTGCACCTAGGGATTGGGCCTGCCCTCTGCCACCCGGGAGCAGGCCTAAGCCAGCAGGTCATTATCTCCCGAGGGGTCCCAGACTGTGAGAGGGCACAGGCCGGGCTGAGCGACCGCCCCCCCTCCCCCCGCCCCCAGGCCGAGTGCACAAATTTTTGTGCACTGGGCCTCTAGTAATTATTATAATATTTAATAAACTAGTCTTTCTCATTTTTGGTGAGGACAATCTATGTTATAGAGTCATTAGTTTTTCAAATATCCCTTACAATTTTATGCCAGTTTTCTACCTAGTAATATTACAAATCTGTACTCCTCAGCTTAATATACTACTAGTGGAGGAAGCATACTGCCCACTATTTGGTGTAAATCATCACACTACTTTACATTATTAACACAGCTACCCAGGATAATGTTAGCAATTGAAGTAGAAAAAGTATACTTACTCAGTTATAATTTCAGAATTTGTAAAGTTGAGGTTGGTTAAACGACCTTCAAGTTTAGACTGTTCATGTGTATTTAAGGCTGGAGTGGTCTTGGTGGCAAGTACAGCTCTTTTTTTATCTTTTTCAAGTGCTTTTCTCTTTCCACCATTTTGAAAATATTCTCTGCATATACTACAAGGAAAATAAAGTTATATTTAAAAACACTAAGTATGAATATAAAATAAAATGAAGAAACATCAGGCTTTATTACTCAAAATGGGACACATTAAAATTACAGATTCCTATTTTTAAAATGTCACAGAGAGGTTAAGTTTGAGAATCTTGTAGCAATTTCACATTTTTTAAATTATCATATAGAAAGCACAATCATAGATTATGTTAAATACATAAAAATTATGCTTGCCCTGGCTGGTTTGGTTCAGTGGATAGAGCATCGGCCTACAGATTGAAGGGTCCCAGGTTTGATTCCGTTCAGGGGCACATGCCCCAGCTATGGGCTCAATCCTCAGTGGGGAGTGTGAGGGAGGCAGCCCATCAATGATTCTCTCCCGTTACTGATGTTGTTATCTTTCCCTTCCTCTCTGAAGTAAAAAAATAAAATAAAATACACACACACACACACACACACACACACACACACACACACTCTAGAGGCCTATTGCACAAAATTTGTGCACTTGGACTGTGTGTGTGTGTCGGGGTCCCCTCAGCCCAGCCTGTGCCCTTCTTCGCAGCCTGGGAGCCCTCAGGGGATGTCCGACTGACGGGGAGCGGGCCTAAGCCAGCAGTCAGTTATCCTTAGTGCTGCCGTGGAGGTGGGAGAGGCTTGCCAGCTGTGAGCCCGGCTTCTGGCTGAGTGGCGCTATCCCTGTGGGAGCACAGTGACCACCAGGGGGCAGCTCCTGCATTGAGCATCTGCCCCTTGGTGGTCAGTGCGTGTCATAGCAACTGGTCATTCTGCCATTAGGTCATTTTGCATATTAGCCTTTTAGTATATAGGAGGGTATGTATATTGATATAAAATATGCCTTTCAGGAACACAGATGTGTTCATATATATTGCTGAACTTTATTCTTAACTGAAACATAAGTTCTTCCAGAAAAGCTTAGATAATTCTGCTATTCAGCTACAGCTTACAAAAAAGAATAGTAGTCACAGTTAATTATGAGCCAGTTATGCTGGTATTAGACAAATATCCCAACAGTTATTTTTCAGGTCCCTTCTGGTTTATGACAGTCAGGTTGTTAACACATTCAGAATCACTTCTTATTTGCTCTGAAAGAAGGGTATAAAAATCTAGTTTAGGAAGAATAGTATCATTTCATAAAGGTATACATTCAGACAGAACAAAGGCTTAAACACAGTAGTGGTTTTTATAACACTTGAAAAAATTATTTCTGTGTATCATGAGACTATTCCTGCTAGTCCCAATTCCTATACTATTAAAATGCAGACTTTTCAAGATGTATCATTTTAAACTCATATAGTATAGCCATATCAGGTTGCTATCCAGAATCAGAAACTGGTGACTGGCAAAACCTTAAACAACTTTTTTGTACCTAATATAATTGTAGGGTGAATACAGTAGGACACCATGCCTGGGTATATAATAGAATAACAAACACAAACCATAGAATCAACTCCAACACTTATTAGCTATTAAAGCCAAGGAATCTAACAGAGAAAAAAAAAAGACTAGTAAGACCTATTTGACAGGAAATACACACTTAAAAGCAATTAACGGATATACTTACCAAAGCTACTTAAAGTGAAGGAGAATGGAACCTAAAATAGTCTTTCTTTTTAACTTCTTAGAATAAATCACATCATAGTTACATATAGCTCATACTTTGAACAAAGCTAGACTTTTTTGTTCTATTGACACTCCCTGGTGAAATTCCAAAAACACATGGTAAGAAAAGAATTGAGGAATTAATTTAAAACTGATTTATGCAAAACTGATTTCTGCAAGTAGAACTATGGTCTAAGCATGGAACAATGCCCAGTTCTCCTCATATTAAAAGTATGCTATTAATTCAAACACAATTTTTATAGGTATCTATTATTTAAGACGTCTTTAACTCATCCTACTGAGATTTAGTTTTAACCCTAATTACATACAGGAATTGAAATACATTCATCATTAATTAAACATATATTAAGTACCTATCATGTGCCAGGCACATAGGTGACAGGACAACAAATTGAAGAAGGCATAATTGCCTTCAAGAAGCTCACACTAGTGAAGGAGACAAACAATTTATATAATGACTAGAGGCCCAATGCACGAAATTCATGCAAGGGGGTTGGCCCTTGCAGCCCCAGCTTCATCCAGAAGGCTGTCCAGAAGGTCGTTCAGCTGTCTGGTCTAATTAGCATATTATGCTTTTATTATTATAAAGAAAATACGAGTAATAGATAAAATATAATTGATAAATACCAAACCCACTCTAAAATCATTAATATAATTTTTGAAAACTGAGTAGGAATAAATCAAGCAAGGAAGAACATTAGTTAAGGAGAGAAGTGCTTTCCTGGCACAGAGACTAGCATGAACAAAGTCATGAAAGAAAAAGCAGCCTGGATCCTGAAGAGATGGACATCAGTTCAAAGTGTGTGAAATTTAAAGTGACAGGCAGAAAATGGGTGGAAGGATGGATGGACAGACGGACGGATGGATGAACTCACAAGTGAAAAGGCCATGAGGCCAATACACATACTAGGTGTACCAGTTAATGCAGATTTTGTAATAAAAGAAAACATAATTTCAAGAGAAACATCAAAAGTGCTTTATTCAAAGTAATGTCCATCGCTAGCTACACATTTCCCCCATCTTTTGGTAATTTGTGGATGCCATCCCAATAGAACTTTTCTTGGTTTGAGGCAAACCACTCAGAGACCCAATTTTCCACTTCTTTGTACATTTTGAAGTGCTGCACAGAAAGTGCATGTGCCATCGATCGGAACAAGTGGTAATCTGAAGGAGCAAGGTCTGGTGAATACAGCGGGTGGGTTAATACTTCCCAGGCAAGATCTTTTAACATGCCCTTGACTGGTTTTGAAGTGTGTGATGGTGGTCATCATGAAGCAAAATTACTTTGCTGTGTCTTCTGTCACATTCTGGTCATTTTACCATCAAAGCGTGGTTCAAATTGATTATTTGTTGTCAGTAGTGATCAGTATTAATGGTTTCACTGGGTTTTAGAAGCTCATAATACACCACACCTTCTTGATCCCACCAAATGCAGAGGATTGATTTCTTTCCAAAGCGGTTTGGCCTTGCAGTCCATGTTGATGGTTGACTTGGATCAACCCATGATTTTGGGATTCTCAAAATAAATCCACTTTTCATTGCTAGTCACAATTCGATGCAAAAAGGACTTTCTTTTGTGCCACTGAAGCAACATTTTACTGACGACTTTTCGGTTTTCCATTTGTTTTTTGTTCAGTTGATGTTGCACCCATTTTCCTTCATCTTTCCCATTGCTTGTAAATGATCGGAAATTGTTTGCTGAGCAACATTTAATCTTTCTGCAAGTTGTTTTTGAGTTTGACATGCATCTTCATCCAATAATGCTTATAATTGTTAGTCTTCAAACTTTTTTAGTTGACCTTGATGTTGTTTTTCACATTGAAATCATCACTTTCAACGCGTCTAAACCAGTGTTCACAAGTATCTTAAGATGGACCATATTCACCATATGCTTCCTGAAGTATTCAGCAGCATTTTTCTTCAAAATAAAGTAATAAATTAAAACTTCCCGCAAATGCTCTTTTTTGGCACAAAATTTGACATGTTTAAGTATAAAAATATTTATGAAGTTAACACCTTCAGCAAATTTGACATATGAAGTTTTGATGCTTGCTGTCAATACAACAAAACAGCATACATATCAAATCGCATTTATATCACATAGTATGTGTAACTCCATCTATTGAAAAATAATCCACATTATTAACTGGTACATATATAAGTGAGGGTTTACTAAGCAAATGAGCAGTGAAAACTCTTTAAAAAAAAAAGAATGCAACATTGAGGGCTTAGAATGCACTCCCTGGTAAATGTTACACTTAAAAAATGTAGGTCAACTTTTATTTTAAAACGGTTTCACGTTCGAAAGGAGAACATTTTAATAAAAATTAGTATTTTTTTCTTGAACATTAACTTACCAGTCACTGAATAACTGCACAAATTAACAAGCGTAACACAAATAAACCTATTTTTCTTATTCTCTGAAAGCAAAGTATTTCCTGTTGTGCACATCAAACAAGTCAGTACAAGACTAATGACGTGGCTAAAATTTTCGCTACTAGTATTAGTAGAGAGAAACGGAGCACCTGCATGTAAGGTGCATAAGGGAAATGAATGCAAGATGATTATAGTAATCAGTCATTAGCAAATGTTGTAGTTCGTTATTAGTAATTATGTATTACAGGATATTGTAAAAACTAAGCTATGAAATTTTTATTAAAATGTTTCTTACATACAATTATATTGGGTGGGTTGCAAAAATATTCATTGTGGTCTGCATGAAGCCTGTGGGCCAAGAGTTTGACATGCTTGGTGTACTTGTGTACTTGTACCGCAGCTTTTTTATCCAGCGTGTCTACTGATGGACACTTGGGCTATTTCTAGATCTTAGCTATTGTACATTGTGCTGCTATGAACATAGGGGTGCATATATTCTTTCTGATTGGTGTTTCAGGTTTCTTAGTGTATATCCCTGTAAGTGGGATCACTGGGTCAAATGGCAGTTCTATACTTAATTTTTTTGAGGGTTATTTTTTAACCTTTATTGAGAGTATTATAGATGTGCTCCCCTCCCCACCTGTCTGCATTCCCACCAGCAGTGTTCTAGGGTTCCCTTTTCCCCACATCCTCACCAGCATTTGCCATTTGTTGATTTGTTGATGGTAGCCATTCTGATTGGTGTGGGGTGATACCTCATTGTTGTTTTAATTTGCATATTTCTGTTCAGCAACATTGAGCATTTTTTCATGTCTCTTGACCATCTGTAAGTCCACTTTGGAGAAGGATCTATTTAGGTCCTTTGCCCATTTTTTTAATTGGATTGTTTGTCTTCCTTTTGTTAAGTTGTATGCATTCCTTATGTATTTTGAGAATTAGCCCTTTATCAGATGTATCATTGGCAAATACATTCATTCATACA